ACCACCCTTTTCAGAATGGTTCAATACAAGCTGACATACTTTGATGGACGTGGAGCTGCCGAGATAATTAGGCAGGTACGTAGGTTTTCCAAATCGTCCCATAGCATTGGGTCTACCATATCCTGAAATAGAAGTCCAAAAACTAGCCTCCTGCCCTTCAGCCTCAAATCTCAAAGAGTCTCATTTCAGGTGTTCGACCCTAGCTGGACAAAATTTCACAGATGTTCGTTTAAGCCATGAGGAGTGGCCAAAGCACAAGGCTGGTAAGTCCTACATTTAGTAAGTTGTACAAGAAAAAAAGCAAATGTTTAATTATCAAATTGTGCAGAGATGCCGTTCGGGCAGTTGCCAGTTCTCGAAAGTTGACGCAAGAAGTTGCCTCAGTCGTACGCCATCGTTCGCTATTTGGCGAGACAATTCGGTACAGATGAATAAAGACGTTGATTTGACTACAATACGAATACTTTTTACTTTAAAGGTTTTGCGGGCAAATCTGCCTGGGAGGAGGCTCAGGTAGACGCAATCGCCGACCAACACAAGGACTTCCTCAACGAAGTCCGTCCATACTTCATGGTCCTCATGGGAATGAATAAAGGCGACGTGGTAAGTTGATCGTCTCGATCTTGAATGGGAAGAATTCTTCCTTCTAGGACGCTATGGTGAAAGACGTGTTCGAGCCTGCACGTCAGAAGTACTTCACCATTATTACAAAGAGTTCTCAAGGAAAACAAAACTGGTAAGTTTCCTTCTCTATATAAATGGGAATCATTGGGGAATTAGGGTGTCCCCCAAGAAGCCCGTCGCGCGACGAAGGAAGAGAAGCAGACACGGCCAAGGGATTGACGACTCTTCTTTGTGCTCATGTCGCGTCTCTTCCTTCGCCGCGCGACGGCCTCTTGGGGAACACCTTGGAATTAAAGTAATACAGGCACTGGTCTCCTTAGCGAACAATAGACCAGACATAAAAGATGAGGCGTGAAGATGAAGGCGAAGTGAGACTTTCTAAGCTGTTCTTTGCATGAATGCGTGTAAGCTGTTTTGAGTTTAGGAAGTGGAAGCACGTGGAATACAGGTGTGGCCAAAAAAAAAGAGACTCTTTGCCCATGGTGCACCTCATCAAACTTTTCATCGTACAGAGTCTCGCTGCTGATTAAAATTTCACGGCAAAATATTTCTTAGATGTCCTCCACATAAGCAGAAGCAGTGTCCCTCCTCCACTGCCCTCCGTCCTCAAAATATGACTTCACCTTCCATCACCGTTGAGCTCAAAAAAGCGTAAAGTAATTGTTCCAGCCTTGAAGCTGCCATGTAATTTCTTTGATGGGTTAACTGACGGATTGCTTCATAGGGACGGTATCTCTACAAATGCAAGACTCTTTCTGACCAGCGTTCAGATAACGTCGTAAAGGTCCATGAGCCGGCGAGGACCGCTTGTGCACAAGGTTCCATGGCAATTCTAGTGTGAGGTCCTTGGTGCAGAAAGCTATTATAACGTTCACTGATAGACTGTGATTTGATCTTGGATAGGAGATGGATTCTTTGGGAGCAGTTGGTTTGAGTTTAGTAAAGTGTGATTAATGCTGTCTGGAATGTGGAGTGAAGTGTCTTTTTTGGACACCCCTGTATTTAGAAATCTATTATCATTCATTCATTTGTGTCTTCGGACAAGACTGCGATAATGTGCACCGCAAGCGACGTTAAACAGGCCGATTTCTGTGTATTGTCGTATTATTTCAACAGTCGTGTCAGATAAGGTGGGCGCATTTTGTAGACGCAGCGATAAGAGGTCGTATTTCTGAAGCTTTTCTGTTTTAATTGCGCTCATACCTTGCCCTGTCCCCGATCCCGCTTTCATAGTACAACAGATGAGAGAAAAAGTCAGTGCAAAAAAGGCAAGCATGAAAGAGGACGAGAGTAACACCTGAACATCAGAAATGGTTGTGGGTCCTCAACTGTAATTACGTATCGGCTATTGTGAGGTCCCTTTCGAAAAATTTGACCAAAAATTTGGCACGAGATTTACTCTGGATTGTAATAGGAAAACCAAGATGTAGTTAAAGAAATTGGATGAGGTGAATGGATAGATAAGATTAGGATGATAAGGGCCGCTCCAAGAAGCGCCAATTTGTTTTCTGCCTCTCACTCGTAAAATTAGAAATGGATAAAACCACGTCAGCGGCCCAACATCAAGAAGCATGTAGCATGTACCCCTCCATTAATTGAAGCCTTTACTAAGTTTTAGAACAAAAACTAAAGCGTGGATGTGAAAATGAAAGTGTGGTCCCCTGTCTGGTACTGCTCTGCAGCTACATTCTCAACGCTAGCACGACATTCCACCAGTCCTCAGTTTATGATGCGTCTTTCAGTACATTTGGTTGGCGCTATGAAAGGTGTGCACATCTCCCGAAAGTACGCAGCTGTGCATGGCTCGAGAGAAAATCCCGGTCAAAACATATCTTTTTTGTTCATCAAAGATTTATCACCAGCGCGTATCACCAGCGTATTCACACGAATTCACATTAGCCTTAAGATATAATGAATGGTGCTTAAGGATATCTTGTCGGAAATTCGCTGACGTTTGCTGATCTCTACGTGGCCGAGATGACCACTTTCTTGGAGAAGCACCCACAGCTCTACGACGGCTTCCCAGAGGTATGCCTTATTTATTAAACACTCGACATTCCGAGGATCCTCTAGAAATTCTCTTTTCATAATTTTCTGGGCAAGCGTGGAGGGAGAAGATACTGTTTGATCACCGATCCTCGAACATGTCGTGATTGCAAAATCGATGAAATAGTTCTTTTGGGGGATTTAAAGGAATCCTTCGCGGAAAATTCTTGCATTCTTTCTCAACATGAATGTGTCAGTTGTGATCACTAGATGCAGCACACAAAGTTTCACGCATGAAGATTCGGTTTCCGAAGAGAAACAAACTACAAAAATCCATTCTATGGACAATCGAAGGTAATTCGGGCGGAGCCAAAGGCGGGGCATGGAAAGAAGTTTGGGGCGGCTACGTATCAGGCGACGCAATGAAAGAATCGGGTTAAAGCGTGCGATTTTGGAGAGTAGAGACAAATCGATCGATAGAATAGGATGGAGTAGAAGTGTAAGATGTGAATGCAATAAGCAAAAGGCCAGAAAGAGTTTCTAGTGACGGCACTCCAAGAACCAAGTGGAAGCATCCCGTGAAAGTGGATGGATCATGATTTTTCGGTGAAGGATTCCTTTAACATATGCTTCTTGATGCACCCGAAACTATCTCACGCCACTTATGCCAACTCAAGTAGTAGCAGAGCATGAAGAACCGAAGCGAACCGGTTTTTTTTCGCTGCGACTACCAGGAAGGTCTTTCAGGACATGGAGCCCTTTTTGAAAACGGTTTTTTGCATGATAAAGGGGCACATGCATGGAGTACAAAACTAGGCTCCATTTTTTCTGAGCGGCCCTGTGAATGCCAAAAAAGGTATGAAAAATCGGTCGAGGGATCGGTCCCGGCTGATGACAAAATTTTGCATTTCATGTTAGCGCATGTTAAATGACTCCAAATGTTACCGCCGATAAAAATAGGTACTGTTCTTACAATCAGGGTCATCATCAACCTTTCTGATTAGCTTTCTGCCCAGAATTGGGGCGAAAATTGTATGGCGCTAAAGCGGCGCCGAGTTGGTGCCCGAGGAGGCTAAAATGGCGCAATATCGCGCCTCCATCAAAAATGGACGTCAGATTCGTAATCAGCGCCTATAATTACCCTTATAGCCGCAGTTTTAGAGAAGATCAAGATTTCGGCCCGAATTCAAAAATTGGGCCATGGGTAAGCCCATAGTCAGTACGGCATGCACGCTTCCCACTTGGAGACAGCTTCGAGATGATAGCAAGCGGCACGTTTGGTTGATAGTTACACTTCCACCGCAGTTCCTGCCCATGGGGCAATCTGGCATCACCCCTTGATCTCGTCGATGCATGGCGTATGCCTGGGTGGGCACTGGCTACGTCGACGAGCATCCTGGACGTTCCTCAACGCCGGCAATCTGCCTTCAAGGGAAATGGAGTAGGTGTTCCTTGCGAAGAAAATGACAACTTCACTTTTCTGGCGTTCGTTAGATGCAGTTGGTGTGATCCGCGCCTGTGATTCAGATGCTTCATTGAGTTTTACCATAACTGCTAGTTATTTATTGCTTGTAAACGGAATTTCGTACACAACTGAAAAACATGGTACTACGAAATATCGCAGAATTGTGGGAGAAAGTTCTTGGAAATGACACCTATAGGCTTTAAGTTCACGCGCAAGCACATGCAAATGCAAAAAAGTGATAATCGGAAAAATGCAAAATCCGAGCATGGAGGGGAACCGAACCAACAACTTCGAACAAACCGTGCCAACCAGAGTCCATCACGCTATCCACTCGACCATCCGACCACCGCTGTGAATGTCAACGACTCTGATGAAACTTCCTTGTGCTTTTGAGCACTTATTATATACAATTTTTGGTATTGGCTTTATTCCACGCTGTTTTCAACGTTCAGGTGAAGAAAACCTTCTATTGTGCGTCCACTTAACATAACGAGTGATATAAACCACGTTGAAGGTGTGAAAACTCCGATTTCTGAAGAAATTTTTTTCACTCCTTTTTTGGCATTCAGAGGGCCGCTCAGAAAAAATGGAGCCTAGTTTTGTACTCCATGCATGTGCCCCTTTATCATGCAAAAAACCGTTTTCAAAAAGGGCTCCATGTCCTGAAAGACCTTCCTGGTGAGTCTGCAAATCACGACATGTCGAGCGTTGAGAAACAGAGTGATGCGTGTGTGCGTTCCAGCGATTTTCGTCCTTGCATTCATTATCGGGTAACTGATAATCGGGTAACTGATGAACTGTATAAANCAAACAAAGTAATCAGATTTGATAGGGTTGAAGGTTCTTTTTCTTATTCTCCTTAGCGTTAGTACCGCGGTAGTCGCAGGTTTCGCTGCTTTTGTCAGTCCGTCGCCACTTTAATGTTGAAGGTTGTAGGTGAGCAATTTTCCCCCTCTCACATGTTTTTTTTTTCAGATGAAAGCTCACGCTGAAAGGTCCGCTCGACCCCGAAACTGAAAAAATGGATTGAGACTCGCCCAGACTCAAAATTCTAAACGTCAACTGGATCTCATGGATGATAGAAACCTCGCTATCAGAACACATTTTTAACTGGTTTTTATTACTCCAAATCGTGATTGGCTTGAGTGATGTGATTGTGTTTATTCAATAAAGTGTTTTGTCAATAACTGTTTTGCATGCAACGCTCCCACAACTTCTAGTAATCATTCTGGATACGGTATTTACTGCACATTATAACGAGACTGAACGAAAGCATAATTCAAAATCACAAGCTTTTACAGCTCTATTATGAGGTGTGGGAGCGGGTCTCTTGAAACTTGCCTTGCGCATCCATCAATTCACCACACTTCGACCATAGTTCAGGCCGTCGAAGGTGGGTGCTTGCCCCGTGGAAACTAGTAACACGGCGATTAGAAATCAGAGCAAATAGAGGCAACGCTGGCGAAACGTGCACAAAGCATATAATTTTCATCGTCGCCATTTCTTTTAGTTATGGACTATTTTCGCCCACTGTTTTCGAACTAAAATCTTCTTAGAACCATCTTACCAATCCTTCGCTACTGTGGAATTGATGTCAAATGGTGCTATCGCCAGATATGGGAGCCATTGTAAGTTGACAATTTCTTCAAATATACCATTGTGAAAACATCGTCTCATTTTGTTCTAAATTCGGGTACGGCGGAGCCAGGGGGAGGATCTGCAGGTCGCTACGGTGCGTAAAGCAGAATTTTTTGTTGTTCCCGTAAGTTCCCTTCGCTCCTTTCGAGCATGTCCCCGTTCTAGAGGATGTCCACGCATCTTGCGATAGCGCCTGTCAAGTTTATGTACATATGAATGTAAGCAAGAGCTTACAGGTCATATAAATATGTTTTTGTGACAAATACTCGACCTATTACTATTAAATCTTATCTTAGAATAGTGCTGTCCCGAAGCCTCATAAAGATCTCTGAATGTGGAACAACAGTTTGAGGCTCCAAAAATTTTATTTCAAAAAGCTTCAAAAGTCTGAATATCAAAAGCTTTTCAAAATAACTTGCAATATTTCGGTGCTTAGCACCTTCGTCAGGCCTGAAATAATACTTCTTTCTAGAGTCGGACAATATACGAACGATATATAAGACCAACTCACACGCGTTCGCCTCTGTCAAATACAAACTTACCTCGACGACAAATTTGTATATTTCGTATATTGTCCGACTCTAGAAAGAAGTATTATTTCAGGCCTGACGAAGGTGCTAAGCACCGAAATATTGCAAGTTATTTTGAAAAGCTTTTGATATTCAGACTTTTGAAGCTTTTTGAAATAAAATTTTTGGAGCCTCAAACTGTTGTTCGACATTCAGAGATATTAAATCTTAATTATATTGTATCAAGAAAAGCTAGATCTCTTAAGTGGGTTTTCGGGAGCATAATCAGAATGATGATTCCTTGAACATTCTCGAATCACTTCAATATTATCACTTCACATTGACGGGGCCCATACGGGCGTTTTCGTACCTGGAGCGATGGCATAATTTAAATAAAAGGATAAAGCATTTGCCGTTGATCAATCCCTTTTTGGGATGCGGCACGCATTCTACTTCCATTTGTACATTCGTAGTGGCGTTTGAATGCGATGTGGCCTATACAATGACTTGCGGGGGCCAGCCGATGTACAAGTCAGTGTTTTTATCCTCCCAGACAAGTCTGGTACCAATTAACCGACCCTGGAAGGATGGAAGGTTCGGTTGCCCGGGCGACCTACAACCCAGGATTTGATCCCGGACCGCTCGCGTGGTAAGCGGGCCACTTGCCACTACTCCACTTCCGCCCATGCATATGTATATGAGCACTTAAATGCAGAGTATGCATTGCAATATATTTGACAAAATGTTAGCTTTTTTCAAAAATCCAAATGCTGCGCAATTCTAGCGAAAGGTGGAAAGGTCACGGCACTTGTAGATTGATAGCATCTCGTCAGGATCCAAATGTATTATAGGAAGGGAAGCTTGAAGGCACGAGTCGGGATCGAATTGGTATGTTATTTTGTTCAAAAAATTAGATCATGTGAAGGCCAATGAAAGTCAAAACCTAAAAACGCAATAGAAACATGAAGTTTCATTAGTGATTGTCGCTTTGTATGAACGGAGAAACACAGCGCTGCGAGGAGAGGAAAGACGCGAGAGAGCACAGTGTACGCGAGAGGGCGCAGACGCCACGTATGCCGCAATGATAAGAGTGGTGGCAGCGCTGGCAGCGTACAAGGTAGAGCCTTAGCGCCTTTACTGCGCACTTTTGGTCGGGTCGTGTCGTGAATTGTGTCGTTATGTAGGTAACCCTTCACTCAGGGTGCGACTGGCTCGTGGCACCTAATTCCGGCCTGTGCCTTTGAGTGACTGGACCCTTTCGCATTAACCCTTTCGGCCCTGGCGGTGGCAATTGCCACCACCAAATTCAAACGCTTGCATTGCCGCTGAAACAGCATGGTTTTTCTAATCCTGCTAGAGTTGCTTCAGTCAACCTTCCCCTTCCTAATTATGAGCTAAACCTGCCATTTCATTGTGTGTTGCTGTTAGTATTACAAGTATTTGTGTACAATGAATCGACGCTGACCCCCGCAACCGGCCAAGTAAGTGTGACTTTTTCTTAAAATACTTGAAGTAGATCCATTCCTAAATCAAACTTTTTCGGCATAACTATGAAATTTCGAATTGTTTCGACATAAGCTTAAAAACTAAGAAGGTGGGCCAATTTTCAAAGCTTCTTAGTTTCTTTGTTTGTGATCGAATAGCTTCCAAATTTTGCCATAATGATACCTATATGCTCACAAGTATAAACAATAGCTAGAAGAAAAATTTCTCCACGGGGAAAAATTCAGGTCCGAAAGGGTTAACCCGATTTGTTATTCATTTCGTTAGAGCTGTTTTCTGTCTATTGAAAAAGCTACGTAGCAGATAGAAATAGATCAACAAAATCGACTGCAGGCAACAATGATGAAGAAAGGAGTAGAAGATTGAAGTTTTAGACAATGATGTTGGTTTTCATCGACTACTTACATCAGTTGGATTCTCACCTTCCTACAGAAATATTCACTTCTGGAAGCTGGCGCTACCGTAACCCGTGACCTTACAGAGCTGAAGCTGTTGCAATGATCTTTGCGAGCGTTTGTTCCCTCTCCTCCTCCCGCCTCCCCATTATGTTGAACTTCGTATTGCCATTGAGGTGACTCAACAGCGTAATCGGGATTTATGACACTGAATATTCCCATTAGTGATCGATCCCTGTTTGTTGCTACCCGTTGTATACCGAACTTTAGTAGATAGTACCTCAAAGTACTAATCAAGTCGAAAAATACGTAATTTTCCAGAATGGTCCATTATAAGCTGATATATTTCAACGGCCGCGGAGCGGGAGAAATTATTCGACAGGTTGGTGACTTCGAAATATATGCTCGAAGGGAAAAATCACAGAGACGTTCCAAAAATTTAATTCCAGAACATTGAAAAATTCAGCAGATTCTTATAAGAAATCTCACACTGTTTCTGAACATTAAGGTTGAAATGATGCCCGGGAACAGCAGATTTCCCCGGGGCTCAGTTATTAAGTTATCAAGGAATTAATGGTACGGTTGCCCCCGCTTCTTCTGTGCGAATTTTTGCAACAAAGCCCTTGGCAGGGATTGTGTTCTCACATATGCTAAGGAAGGATATCTCGCACTCTCTCACAGTATGTCCAAATGTTACCATTTTTGAATTTTGGCACTATTTTTAGCTTATGACCAGCACCAAACCAGCAAATTTGACTGAAATTTCTACAAAGTCCAGCTCGGTGAACATGCAGCAAGTATAGATTGAAACATAATACTGTGTGTAGTCAAGGAAGTACTACCATAAAAAACTGTTACCACTGGTACCAAAAACTTCGCCGTGGCGATTTGATCATCAAAATTAGAAATGTCACTTATATTATTATGCGCTCTAAAATAAAGGGATTGATGGAAGAAAATAAACGTACTGTTAGGCGAAAAGTAGTAGAGATTCTAGGTACAGTATTGAGAATTGGGAGGCCGAGAAATGTGACCAATGGATTTGCCAAAAATGGTGCACACAAGCAGGGTCATTTACGACCCCTCTTTTGAGGGCAACTTCCAGCCACGTTCCTTCCCGCTATTACGCTATTTTCTCTTCATATTTGTATGCCCATCATTGATGTATGGGCCGTCACGGCCCGCCCGTGATTGGGCCGCACTGAGGGGACACCATCTTCCCAAATGAAATGTATGCTAATAGGGTCATGTGTATGGCGACCTGCTTCAGGCCTGATTCGCGACAGCTCCTTGAAACTCAGTGAAACAATCATGGCAGAGTCGTAAGTTTGAAAATTGGACCAAATCCGCCAAGAAGCTCAACTTCTGAGCTCAACCTCATGGTTAGTCGGAAGCGAGAGACACCGACAGTGCGGGCACACATCGCACAACTGACGTTCCAAAACCCGGTTAAGTTGGGACACTTAGTCCTGCCTTACTCAAACCAAACCTCTCCCTTATGGACCGTCACTTCTTGATGAGCCCCGACGAATTCTTGAAGCAGAAAGTACTTCAGTAGCCAAACTCAGGTGGAAACTGATTTCCGAGTTCATCGGCTACAGAGTTCCAGACTTTCATGTAAGAGGAACAATAGTAGCACTTGAGCAAAGCTATGTAATTCGTTTCCACAGAGACATCGCTTCATACGTTCAGAACGGGATATATTTCATATGGTTTGATACAAGGTGTACTGATATTTGAATGTCAAAGCGTATTTCATGTTAAGCTGTTCGTCATTGCTGGGCAAGACTTCGAGGACAAACGTTTAACGATTGAGGAGTGGCCAAAATATAAAAGCGGTTCGTTGCCCCGTCACGGATTTACGTGCTGTCAACGTTTTTGTGCAAGTGCGGTCGCGGACAGGGTGTCAATTCAGTAGAACGTTTTCAGAAATGCCCTTCAATCAGGTGCCAGTGTTAGAGGTCGACGGAAA